AAAAAAAAAATTAGGCACAGTGGCTCATGCCTATAATTCTAGCACTCTGGGAAGCCAAGGAGGGAGGCTCACTTGAGGTTAGGAATTCAGATCAGCATGAGCAAGAGAAGCAAGACCCTGTCTCTACTAAAAAATAGAAAAAATTAGCCAGACATGGTGGCATGCTCCGGTAGTCCCATCTATGCAGGAGGCTGAGGCAGGAGTTAGAGGTTGCAGTGAGCTATGATGATACCACTGAACTCTAGCCTAGGTGGCAGAGCAAGACCCTGTCTCAAAAAATAAAAATAAAAATGAAAAATAAAATGTAGCTAGGCATGGCAGCATGTGTCTGCAGTCCTAGCTACTCAGGAGGCTGGGGTGGAAGGACTACTTCAGCCCAGGAGTCAGAAACCAGCCTCGGTGATATAACAAGACTTTGTCTCAAGGAAAAGAAAGAAAAAAAAAGAGAGAGAGAGAAAGGAAGAGGAGAGGAAGAGGGAGAGAGAGAAAAAGAGGAAGAAAGAAAGGAGGGAAGGAAGGAAGGAGGGAGGGAACAAAAGAAAGAAGGAAGGAAGGAATTAATTCTGAAGCTCAGGACACTAAAAGAATGAGATACATGATCACAAGATTATAGACTGCGTTTTCTCCCCAACACTTTTCCACCATATAAACAGAGCTCTGGTATAATAACAGGAGATTAAAAGTGCTCTGCAAGACACAGACTGTACTAAAGAAGCAGCTCATAGGAAAACTCAAAGACAACAGGGAAGGGGGGGAAAGGCAATAGAGGAAACTGAAGCCTCTGGCACCTATAGCCACAGCAAACATTAATTAACAAAAAACCTCACAATAAAAGTCTATTTGCCTTCATTCCTATCACCAGATACATATCTGGCTTTCAACCAAAAAATTACAAGGTATACTAAAAAGTACACAAAGACAAAGCAAGCATGAGAACCAGATTTAGCTATGGCACAGATTTTTGGAATTATCAGATAGGGAATTTAAAATAACTAGGATAAAAATGTTAAGTCAAGTGTGGTGGCTTGTGCCTGTAATCCCAGATACTTGGAGGATGAGGTGGGAGGATTGCTTGAGGCCAGGAGTTTGAGATCAGCCTGGGCAACTTATCAAGACCCCCATCTTTAAAAATCAAAATGAAAAAAATTAGCCAGCTGTGGTAACAAACACCTATAGTCGCACCTACTTAGGAGACTGAGGCAGGTGGACTGCCTGAGTCCAGAAATTCAAGGCTGCAGTGAGCTATGATCTTGCCAGAGCACTCTAGCCTGGGTAACAGAGTGAGAATTTGTCTCTTAAAATAATAATAATAATAATAAATAGGGACAGGTACAGTGGCTCACACCTATAATCCTAGCACCTTGGGAGGCCAGGGAGGGCGGATTGCTTGAGCACAGGAGTTCAAGACCAGCCTGAGAAAGAAAGAGACCCCATCTCTAAAAAATAGCCAAGTGTTGTGACCCATAGTCCCAGCTACTTGGGAGGCTGAGGCAAGAGGATCACTTGAGCCCAAGAGTTTGAAGTTGTGTGAGCTATGACATCATAGCACTCTACTGGGGGTGACAAAGAGAGACTCTGTCTTAAAAATAATAATTAATTAAAAAATAAAATGTTAACACCAATGGAAAAAACACATAACATGCAGAAACATATAGATAATATAAGCAGAGAGATGGAAAGTGTAAGAAAGAATAAAAAAGAAATGCTATAAATCAAAATACCATAAAAGAAATAAATTCCTCTGATGCGTTCATCAGTAGACTTAACACTGACAAGGAAAGAACAAGTGAGTTTGAAAACGGCAACAGAAGCTTTCCAAACTGAAATGCAAAGAGAAAAAAAGAATAACAATAAAAAAGAACAGAATATTCAAGAACTGTGGGATAATTGAAAAGTGCATAATATACATGAAATGGGAACACCAGAAGAAGAAAAAAGAGCAGAAAAAATATTTAGAAGAAATAATGGCTAAAAATTTTCCAAAATTAATGACAGAAACCAAACTACAGATTCAGGAAGCTTAGAGAATATCCAAGCAGGATAAATACCAAAATACCTGCACTTACAATACTGTATTCAAACTTCAGGAAGACAAAGACAAAAACAAACTTTTGAAAGAAGCTGTAGGAAGAAAGCACATTATCTATGGAGTAAAAAGAACAAGAATGACATTGGACTTCCTGTCAGAAACAATGCAAGCAAGAAGAGAGTGGAGGGAAATATTTAAAGTATTAAAACTAAAAAATAAAGAAAACACTAACCTAGAATATTCTATCCAGAAAAACTTTCTTTCAAAGGTGAAGTATCAATAAAGAATTGCTCAGACAAATAAAACTATGAGAATCTGTTGCTAATAGATTGCTTTATAAGAAACATTAAAAGTTCTCCAGAGAAAAGAAAAAAAAAATAATCAGAAACTAATATCTACAGAAAAAAAGGTGTCAGAAAAGAAATAAATGGGCTCAGCGCCTGTGGCTCAAGTGGCTAAGGCGCCAGCCACATACACCTAAGGAGGCGGGTTCGAATCCCCAACCCAGGCCCACCAAACAACAATGACGGCTGCAACCAAAAAAAATGGCCGGGCGTTGTAGCAGGCGCCTGTAGTCCCAGCTACTTGGGAGGCTGAGGAAGGAGACTCACTTGAGCCCAGGAGTTGGAGGTTGCTGTGAGCTGTGATGCCATGGCACTCTACCCAGGGTGATAGCTTGAGGCTCTGTCTCAAAAAAAAAAAAAAAAAGAAAAGAAAAGAAAAGAAATAAATGAAGGTAAAGTACAACTTTTACTTTTCTTATTCTTAATTGAGCTAACATCATTATCCTTATTTTGTTTTTTGTTTGTTTGGTTTGTTTTTTTTGAGACAGAGTATCACTCCATTGCACTGGGTAGAGTGCCATGCCATCATCATAGCTCACAGCAACTCTCAAACTCTTGGGCTCAAGTGATCAATCATCTTGCCTCAGCCTCCCAAGTAGCTGGGACTACAGGTATGCACCACCACACCTGGCTAGTTTTTCTACTTTTAGTAGAGACGGGGTCTCACTCCTGCTCAGTTTGGTCTCAAACTCCTGAACTCAAGCAATCCACTTGCCATGGCCTCCCACAGTGCTAGGATTACTGATGTAAGCCACCAC